CCCAACACATAGTGTTACCTGATTTCTGTCCCCTTCCGTTCCACGCAAGTGGCACTCCCTAGATGTTAGCAGGGTACTTTGAATTTACATCAGATGTCCCTCTACATTTAGCAAAACTGAGGCCATGTTTGTGTCCTTTCCCCTTCCCACTGGGGGCAACAAAGCCTCTCCTCCCACTTTGAGTAGGTGGATCACAGCATGCATCGCACAGGCCTTCTAACCTTCCAGTACCCCAGGGCCTAATGGCGCACTCTGCTAGGAGTGCCTCAACTTCAGCAGCTTGGGCCACCCAGACACCTCTAGTGGAGATTTGCAGAGTGGCTACGTGGACCTCCCCATCTCTGTTCATCAGACATTACCATCTGGACTCCTATGCCTCGAGGAGTGCGGCTTTTGGCAGACGGTTGCTTCAGTGAGTGGTTCCAACTTCGGAGAAATTTGCCAGACGAGGACTCTCACATGGACATGCAGGTTTTAGTATGTCCCATCCTGGGTTCTCACAGCAGCATTTAGGAGAATGGGCATTGGTAAATTTACCTGAGAACGCCCTTTCTATTGATGCTGCTAGAAAGCCCAGCCCCTCCTTTATTTCGTCCAGACCATGGTAAGATGTGTTAATGTTAATGTTAAAGATTCTGTTCGGCTTTCAGAGACACTTCCTACAGTCTGTCAAGTACCTTCGCCAAAGCTAGGGGGAAACTCCCACAGGCAGTCCTTTTTATACAAGACAGACCCAGCTTGATGATGTCATCAGGAGTTTAACCCATCCTGGGCTCTCTAGCAGCATCTATAGAAACGGCATTCTCAGGTAAATTTACCAAAGGCCAATCTGTCCAACAAATAATGTGCTAGTAGCAACCTGATATACTTATGAGATTGATATGCTTATGAGTTTTGAAAAATCAAAATTTTCAGGCAGGAAAGTCCCTTTTATTATGCTACTGTCTAAGGTCTTGGATAGTGGGATTTCATTTTCTTTTAATAGTAACTGTCTTGAGTCAGAGAAATCAACTGACTTGGGAACTATATATTAGCATATTTTATTTGTAGTATATGCTTCTTTTGTACTAGATGTGTGTAAAGGTAAAGCTCTTAAGCAACGTGATGTTTCTGTCAAACCCCACTGGGGTTTGCCATACCTGAGAGGAGGGGGATTAGGGAACAACAATGGCATGGAGAGAGAGAAATGCGGAAAATAAACAATATACCTTTTATTCAAATAGACATGCATTATGGTCTAGAATAGATATGATATGAATGTCAACAGAATTGCTTTCCAACATACAAGACATTGAAATAGAAGCAAGCACCTGGGCAGATCACAATCCAATATCACTTGTATGGAAAGGACAAAAAAGGAGATCTAGATGGACTTTAAATAACACAATATTAAAGGAAAAAGACTTTAACCAGAAAATTGAGAGAGAATTGACTTTTTTCTTCAAAAAAAACACAAAAGAGATATATCATTACAGAACCTCTGGGACATGATGAAGGCTTATACAAGAGGCTTGATAATGGACTATACAAGGAAAAGAAATATAAAACAGAAAAGAAACCTTTAAAATATTGGAAGATGACTACAAGAAGTTGGAAAAAGAATTATAGAAATTTCCACAAAAAAGGACATTAAAATTAAAATGGACATAACTAAACATAAAATGGGGCTAATGAAAAAAGAAGAAATAGCACAAAAAATTAAAAATGCTAAGCAGGACTATTTTGAAGATGCAAACAAACCAGGCAGATGGCTAGCCTTTAAATTGAGAAAGGAAAGAGACTCGAGAAGGATACATCAATTGATAAATGAACAAGGACATGTATACTAAGGAAATGTGGAGAAAAAAATTATTCAAGATTATTATGGAAAACTGTACCATCAAGAGAATGTTCAGGAAGAAAGAATTCAACAATACTTACAGGAAGCAAATTTGCCTCAGATACCCAAAGATACTGAAATAATGTTAGAAAGTAACCTAACAATGATGGAATTAACAGAAGCTTTAAAAAAGTAAAACATTGGGAAAGCACCAGGTCCAGACAGTTTACCAGTGGAATTATATAAGACATTCCAGGAAACACTGAATCTTCACTTATTAGAAGTTATGAATGAAGTTATGACAAAGAAGAAAATACCCAAAACATAGTCAGAAGCATATATCACACTTGTACGGAAGGAGGACACAGACCCACAGCAAGTTAAAAACTACAGACCAATATCACTATTAAATTCAGATTAGAAAATTTTTGCTTCAGTTCTGGCAGAAAGACTGAAAAGATACTTAAACAATTTTATTCATCCTGATCAAAATGGATTTCTGCCAAAGAGACAGATTAAAGATAATTTGAGAATAATTTTAGATACACTGGAATACTATGAGGCACATTCCAAAAAACAAATGGCTCTGATGTTTTTAGATGCACAAAAAGCTTTTGATAATGTGAATTGGCATTTTATGGTGTTACAATTGGACCAAATGGGCTTTGGTAAAAATTTTTACTCAAGCCATAGAAATGATATATCATAAACCAACTGCAGAGGTTATGATAAATGGAGAATTAACAGATTTTATTGATATAAGAAAAAGGACTAGACAAGGCTGTCCACTGTCGCCTCTGCTGTTTGTGTTAACACTGGAAGTGCTAAATAGGAACATCAGAGAAGAAAAAGAAATAAAAGGAATGAAAATTTTAAAAGAAGAGTATAAATTACAAGCTTTTGCAGATATGGTATTCATATTAGAGGATCCATTGGAGTCAGCAACCAAACTGATAGAAAAGATAGAAGAGTATGGGAAAGTAGCAGGTTTGAAAATAAATAAAGATAAAACAAAGATTTTAGCAAAGAACATGTTAGTAAGACGAAAGAAAGAATTGGAGGAAGTTTTGGGGATCCAGGTCACAAATAAGGTTAAGTATTTAGGGATACACGTAACACCAAGATGTAGCACACTTAAGGAGGATAATTATCTCAAACTTAAACAACAGATTGCGACAGACTTGATAAAATGGGAAAATTTACAATTATCACAGATTGGGAGAATATCTACAGTTAAGATGAATGTATTGCCTAGAATCTTATACTTATTCTAGACAATTCCAATCAGATTAGGGAAAGAATTTTTTGAAGATTTAAACAAAATAGTGCTAAAATACATTTGGCAGGGGAAGAAAATGAGAATAAAACTTAAGTTGCTAGAAGATGCAAGAATAAGAGGAGGATTTGCTCTGCCCAATTGGGGATTATACTACCAAGTGACAAGTCTGATGTGGGTAAAGAAGTGGATAACACTAAGGAATACTAGACTGTTGAATTTAGAAGGACATGACTTTCTGTTAGGGTGGCATGCCTTCTTCTGGTATAAGGGAACTAAAATGCAGGGGTATTTTAGAAGACATTATATTCGAGAAGCATTGTTTCTAAACTGAGAGAAGATAAAAAAGCAATATTATTTAAAAATTCCACTATGGTTATCTACTATTGAAGCTTTTTCCTATCCAATAATATATAAAAAGGAACAAACGGTTAGATATGGTGAGATATTGAATGAAAAGGGTGAACTTAAATCTGTGCAAGCGTTGGAAGAACAAGGTGTAAAAATGAATTGGTTTTCATATTTGCAAATACAATCTAGATTTGACAAAGATGTTAAAACAGAAGGTATCTATGATAAGTTGACTGATTTAGATAAAATTCTGACAGGTGCTGATAAAAAAGTAATCAAAAAACTTTACGGACATTTGCTGGAGTTTAAATTAGAGGAAGAACAAGTAAAAGAAACAATGATTGTGTGGGAGAAAAATTTTGGATATGGGATTGACTTAAATAAATGGCAAAAATTGTGGTCTCAAAATTATAAAATGACAATGTCAACTGCATATAAAGAAAATTCGTATAAGATGTTTTACAGGTGGCACCTACCCCCAACGAGACTTGCGAGAATGTTTAAGAATACATCGGATAAATGCTGGAAATGTCATCAGATACCTGGTTCATATTACCATATGTGGTGGACATGCTCGGATGCAAAAAGATCCTGGACTATAATCCAGATATGGTTGGAAAAAATGACAAAACAACACAAAGACTTTAAACCTGAGATATTTTTATTGGGAATTATACCGGAAACATATTGTAAAGAATTGAAATATTTGATTGTAAATGTTTTAATAGTGGCTGGAATTGTATTTGCTAAGAATTGGAAAAATGAAAAAATACCTATGCAGGAGGAAATTATTAAGAAAATCATGGACTGTGCCGAAATGGAAGAAATGGTGTCCAAAAAACAAAAAAGGAACTCAAGTAAGAGAACATAGTTCCTTCTAAATTTTTGCATTTCTCCACCAGTCATACTCCTTTCTTTCCCTAATGCCTGCAACTAAGTTGGCCACCTGTGTAGATGATGGAAATCTGATGTAATTTGACTTTCAGAAATTCTGTAGTTGGTTCAATCAGATTTATTTCAAGATTAATGTTTTGATCAGAAACAACATACTAGTAGGTAAGCCTAATTTGGCATAGTAGGAAGATTTCCTTCAAATAAACGTGAAGAATTTCACTGCAAATGTTTGCATATGCTTGCAGTTTGTGATAAGAGAAAAGGTTTAACCTTTTTGTCTAGGATTCCTGGGGGCAAAGTAGATGTACGGACAAAAGATCCTTGCCATCTCTTTATTTCCCTTTTAATGGCAAGAGCCCTGAAGAAAACTGTGGAAGAAATAGTTCAGAGATAACATTTAATCTTTTCCCAAACTGGTAACTTTTATTATCCTAGGATTTATTTAAAATTATTTTCATTCAACTCCACATGCAAAATGTAAGAACTTTTGGAAATTATATTTCATTCACATCTAGATAGTAGCAGATTGGAAAAACCTCCTGGAGATATTTTTTTTACTTCATTAGAATTTCTGATAAATGAAGTTGTAATATCCTTTATGTTTATAATGATTCATGCTGGCATCTGATGAACAACACTATATTTTTTCTTTCTTTTCAGTATTCAGAGGCCAAAAAGCAATGCTGGTACTTTGAAGGGGTGTTTCCTACATATTATATGTAAGTGATCCTCCTTTTTTCTTTCTATTTATTTGTGTATATGACTGTGCTCATGTGGGATAAAAGTTTCAAATCCTGTTCCTAGTGGCAATGACTGCAATTATAGGATACATCAGTGGAAGCAAAACTAAATTTATGTATTATAACAAAAGTCACATTAGAAATTAATAACATATACTATCTAGAGCAGTGGTTCCCAAACTTTTTCAGTCCACCGCCCCCTTGGTGCTACAAACTCATCCTCAGTGCCCCCCACCCAGGGGTGGGATTCAAATTTCTGAGGGCGTGGCCTAATTTGAAGGTGTGACTTCTGGTCATGTGACTGGGTGGGCGTGGCTTTCTGGTCACGTGACTGGGTAGATGTGGTTTGGTGGTCATGTGACTGGGTGGGCGTGGCCAGGTGACTGGCAAACCAAATACCAGTGGTCCTCACTTAATGGCCGGTTGTTTACCAAGTGTTCTAATTTATGACTGGTCTTGCCAGAGCTACTTGATCTGTTTTTGGAGTTTTGACAGCCATGCACACACATACACACACACTCCCTTCTAATCCTGTTGAAGCAGGTCATTGGACTAGAATTGGCAAAGCATCTCTGATTAGATTCTAGTAGTGAATAAAATCTAATCAGAGATGCTTTGCCAATTCTTGTTGATTTGTTTTATTTGTATTTCTTTATTTTATGTTGCTGAATTGCATTGACATGTGTGTTCCTTCTTGTCCACAATGCAGAAGCTTTTGTAATTCTTTGCAGAAAAAATTACTGACCTCTGGCTTTGCCCTACTTTTCAAATGTGCCACCACTACCACGTTCTAGATGCCGGCCCCGCAGGTCCACTCCATTGAGCCCACTGCACCAGAGGGATCTGCCCAAGCAAGTCCGAGCAGAGTGGTGCACCAAGTCAATGGGGTGAGCCTGAGAGAGGGAAAGAGAGAGAGAGAAAGAGCAAAGGAAGAAAAGAAAGAGAAAAGGGAAAGAAAGAAGAAGGGACAAAGAAAGATGGGGGGATGGAAGGAAGGGACAGAAAGAAAAAGAAATAAAGAAGGAGGGAGGAAGGGAGAGAAAGATAATGAGATATCTATTCTAGTCCAATTACCTGCTCCAGCAGGGTTAGAAGGGAGTGTGTGTGTGTGTTCTTGTAATTTATCCGTACATTTTGGTTTTGCCTTTTTCAGAGTTGGCATTGTAATACATTGGGGAAAAGTAATTTTTTAGGGTGGAAATCTGGTCCAATGGATCCTGTTTAAAGCCTCAACAAAATGTGAGATCTTCCTGATAGTCTTGACTATGTTTCGTCCACAAAACCTTTAACAGAAGCCAAAGATGTTTCAATGTGCTGGCAAAGATATCTCTCTCTCCCTCTCTCTCTCTCTCTCCCTCCCTCCCTCTCCCTCTCCCTCTCCCTCCCTCCCTCCCAGACTATCTTTGCTCTACTTTCCTGATGTGCCTGCGGGGCCGCGTTTCGAACATGGATGGATGGATGGATAGAGAGACAGAGAGAGAGACAGAGAGAGAGACAGGTAGGTAGGTAGATAGATAGCTGGATGGATGGATAGATAGATAGATAGATAGATACATACATACATACATACATAGATAGGTACATAGATAGGTAGAGGCAGGCAGGCAGGCAAGCAGGCAGGAAGACAGACAGAAAGACAGACAGACCTTTTGGATGTATGTATGTATAGGTAGGTAGGTAGATAAATAGATCTATATTGGCAGATAGGTAGGTAGGTAGACAGAAAGACAGGCAGACAGACAGACTTTTTGGATGAATGTATGGATGTAGATAGATAGATAGATAGATAGATAGATACATACATACATACATACATACATACATACATACAGAATGTGACAGTGGCAGCACTTGGAAAAGTAGAGGCTTTGCTCTATTTTCCCAACGTGCTGCCGCCGCTGCGTTCGACATGCCAGCTCCACAGGCTCGCCCCATTGTGCCCCTTGCACCACACTGGTGCAACAGTCAATGGAGTGAGCCTGCGGTGCTGGCACCTTGAATGCCCCCCTGCTGCCTCTTAGCACCCCTCTGCTGGCCCCCTTGGTGGCGTTAAGAGGTGGCAGGGGGCATTCGAGGTGCCGGCACCGCAGACTCACCCCATTGACTGTTGCACCAGAGCAGTGCAAGGGGCTCAATGGAGTGAGCCTGTGGAGCTGGCGCATCGAACGTGGCCATAGCAGCATGTTGCTTTACTTTCCCCACATGCCACTGCTGCTGCATTTGAGGCACTGGCTACAGAGCGGTGCAAAAGTCAATGGGGTGAGCCTGCGTGGCCGGTGCCTCGAATGTCCCCTTGCCTCTTAGCACCCCCCAAGGCACCCCATCACTCTCAGGGGGTGGTATCACCCACTTTGGGAACCACTGATCTAGAGAATCGCCTTTCCCACTCATTGATGTCTCCCTCTGTTGTAGTCCTACTAATCTGCCTTTACAGATTACTGTAGTCCAACATGTGTCTACTTGATCAACTATTATCTGTTCTTGACTGAGAGCAGCTCTCATGCAGAGATAGCACAAGATTAGAGGTGGCAGACTGGCAGCCCACGGGCTGGATGCATCACATGCAGGCCACACCCACCCTGGCTCCACAAAGAGAAAAACCATCATGATACGTCGCGATATGTCACATGAGGTGATCAAGTTTTACAACCGTGCAGTAGACATATCTTATTTCCAATCTAGCAGAACTGGATTCATATGTTTACATGTCAAGTATAAAGCAGTTTTCAATAAGCTCGGCAAAAGGCCACTCTTTTTTCTTTCCTAAGAATTCCATTCATAAGTCTAGCTCTTAAAGTTGGCAGTCAGTTTAATGTACAGAATGATTCACAAGCAGTTGGCCTAAACAGATGAGTTCTTTTAAATAACAAATAGGAAATTTAAATTGCTTTGAACCAAAGTGTTTTGATGAATAGGCAACCAGTGTTTCATATACTGCTTCACATTAGGAAAGATATTAAATGGCATTCTTTGACATTGCCTTAGAGTGTCTTCTATGTCATCACAGTGAAGTTCCTGTTCTGGCTACAAAGATTCATAATCCAACTTATAAGCCCAAAAGGCAACTAGATAAGGAAGTATTTTTCAGTAGCTTCTTACCTTTACACACATCAGGATTAAGAAAAAGGGAAACAGGCCAGCATGTAGGATGTGTACCCAGATCAAGAGACCAAAGAGAGAAAGAATGAAATTGGAACTTATAAAATTGGCTTTGAATATTGAAAGAATTAATTTGGAAGTGAAAATCTAGAGGAAAATATTTGAACACAAAAGGCTTGGAATTTAAATTGGATAATTATTGGATTTTTGGCACTAAATAGGCATAAGTGAATGCTGGAATAGAATGTGTTGAAAAGAAATAATAGCTAATAATTTGAATTAGCAAAATTAACAAAAGTTTTATTAAAACAAGAAGAAGTGAAAGAAAGGGTGGAACGTGGAAACAAAACTGAGAGAGCCACCTAATGGTATAGGAAATATTTCAGTGACTTTTGGAAAAGTGTCTGGTCCTTTTAAAATAGACATGAAACTTAAAAGAAAATAAGAGGAACTTCATTATAATAAAATAAAAACCCTGAAAAACCCTAAAAAGTGAAATATTGGAATATTATAAAGGGGAAGGCATCCGAAGAAATTGCTTTGAAACTATCCGGTGGCTTTGAAAAAACCAATAGAAGGAACCTGGAAACAAAGACTAATGGACATTGATTGTTGAAATTAAATATAAAAGACGCTGGTTGAAACAACTTACTGGATATTTGGATTGTATAATTATCAAGGAAAGGGGGAAAAAGGGATCAGCCTAAAAATGGGAGAACTATTTGCAGAAATGAGGTTGGATCTATAAGATATGAAAGAAATGATGAAAGTGAATCTGGAAATGTGCAACAATATATTACAAAAACTAGAAATGGTGACTCAGTTTGAAGAAGAACAAAGAGAACCAGAAGGGGAGGAGTTAAACAAAGAGGAAACCAGCTTGAAGATCAAGTGGAACAATTACCATTTAAACGGGGGGCGGGGGGGTCGGAAAGAATGAAAGTTAAAAATTTGTGGTTTGATGTAATAACAAAAGGGGGAATGGTTCGGAAAGTTAAAGGGAAGAAGCAGAAGAGGGAATTACAGAAGAAAATTTGAAAGAGGGAGTGGGATAAAATAAATGACTGGAATGAGAAATGGAGAGAAATAATAATGGGAAAAAGGAGAATTAAGAGAAAGGACCAGAAAAGAAAGAGAAACAGGAAACAAACAAGAATGAAAAGAAATTACATAGTTAAGAGGATGAGAGACAATGGGTAAAAGAATAATAGGGAAGAAGATTCTGCAAGGTAATGTGCTGTGATATATAAGAATAAAGAATTGAAGGAAAGATTTTTATAATTAATTGAACAGATTAATATTTTTGTAATATATAGATGATTTATAAGGTGATTGAGAAAAAGAATACCATGAGGAATCTGATCTAAAATATATGTATATGTGATATGTAGTAGACAGAAGAATATTGTTATTAATGTAGAATGAGATAATTATATTGAATTAAAGGGAATAAGTGGAGGGAAAACATAAGGTAAATAGGTGGTAAGCTCAAATTGACAACCAAAGGGGACAATTTTTTAACTAATAGAATAAGGATGGAATTATAGGATAATAAATGAAATAACAATATTTGATAAAATTGCAAATGTGACAGATAAAAATAATGTGTATAATGAATATAGAAAAGAAATAAGAATCCTAAATAATATTGTAAAGCAAGATATGAGACTATTTTAAGAAAAACGAAATAAGTTAAGCTATGAACTGAAATTTGATAAAATAGATTTAATGAATATAATATTTGGGAATATTTAAAGAAAATAGAATAAATAATAATGTGATATGAATTTGAACAAGAAAGATGGATATATAACCATGGTCATGTTTGTATTGAAATGTAAAACTTGGAACCACACTGCTTGCCAAAACAGATTTTTTTT